CAGACCCTCCGGCACGCCTTCCTGGAGCTGCAGCGCACGCTGCCGTCGGTCCCGCCCGACACCAAGCTGTCCAAGCTGGACGTGCTGCTGCTGGCTACCACCTACATCGCGCACCTCACCCGCAGCCTGCAGGACGACGCCGAGACGCCGGCGGACCCCGCGCTGGGCGCCCTCCGCGGCGACGGCTACCTGCACCCGGTTAAGGTAAGCGGGCAGGGTGCGCTGCGGGGCTGGGGCTGAGCGCAGGACACCTTGTCGCGCCCCGCCTGTCGCCTCGTGTGGGAGTGCCCCCTCCTCCCTTCGGTGAGGCGGAGAGCCGACCGGGGAGCGACCCCGGCCCTCGAGAGCCTGCGTCTTAACCATTCGCAGGTAGTAGGTGACCTTTCATAGGTAGCTTGGGGAGGGGTCTCCAGGGCCCTTGCTGGATGCTGCCTAAGGATGCGTGTGCCCTCCAAGGTGAGAAAGTGGGGCTCGGTTGCACGCCCTAATAATAGGTAACATGTGTGTTACACTTATGACCCTTTGAGAGTTTTTATGTGCTTTAAATGTACATAATTACGCTTTCATTGCATTTTTATGGAATAGTTGAAATATTCCACGAGTTGAATGAGGTAATGAAATTAGGTGCCCCAAAGTTATCGTAGGAAAACACTGCTGAAATTTTTTTTGGTAAAATTAGTAAGAACAAATGAGACAGTTCTGAATCCACGTGGAGTAAAACTGCAGTCTACTTAAATAAAGGTTATTAGGTTTGCTTCTTTTATGAGCAAAAAATTTTTAAAATAAATAAAGGTTAAATATGGACTAGACATCTGCCGCTAATGTCAGAAGCTATAGTGCTTTTATATGTAATTTTAATAATAGATTGGCCTGAATGTGAGCAAATTTATCAAATACTGTATTCAAATTCTATAAAATACAAAATTAGCCAAGAGACTTCATTGCATCATTTCTTTACACGTAGGGAGAATAGCCACAGTTTTCACTTAAAGCGGTACACATGATTATGACTTGTAACCTGTATTGTAGTGTTTAGTCTTTGCATCGTGCTTTTCTCCAAGATTTGATTGCTTTTGAAATCTTACACAGATTTGACTTACTGTTCAAAATGCATCATCTTTATGTTTTCCTAAATTATAAACCTAAATTTTCAAAATTTTGGTTCCACCAATCTGAAGTATTTTGCCACACACACACAAATACAAAGTTAGAATTTAGCCTTAAGTATATCAGTGTTTAATAAATTATTGATTAATTATTGAAATATGGTAAAACATACTATGTAATATTAACTTACAATTCTGTGATGAAGTTCAACAAAATTTATGTTACAAATATAATCAGTGTGATGATAAATTTAAACCATTTTGGAAATTAGATATAAAGATGTGAAATCTTTATTTATAATTGTGATATATCTCATCCCATTTATGAGTTTTATAACATAATCTCAGCAGAAAAATCACTCATCATTAAGGGGTTTTGTATTACAGTGTGCGTTAGATTGCTATCCAAATATACTGTTAATGTTAGATTTCTTTTGACTTGACACCTCAAACTCTGAAAAAGTTTATGTTAACATTAAGTAGATTTTAATACAGAGTATCATCTGTTAAATGCCTGATTTGTGGGAGATATAATTCAGAATGAGAAATCAAGTTGTTTTCACCTTAGTTTCTTGCAGTGCCTTTTTGAATGCATAATGTTAGATACATTATTTTTATGTAACAATAGACAAGCTTTTTTTTTGCACTTCTTTCGTATATCAAATTTTTTGTAATCATAACTATTTTTAGGAAAGCTAGATCTCATTTTTCCTTTGAATCAATTATTTTTATTTTAAAAGACAACTCTAGAGATAATGATACAAGGCCAAAAATTATTTCTTAAAAGTGGAATTGATGATTGTTGAACAAGTAAACAAATCAAACAAGCTTTAAAATCAGACATTTATTAAGTTTCTTCTATATGCAAAACACTATTTTAGGGAAGTGAATACAATTATGAGTAAGACTCAGTCCCTCCCCTAAATGAACATATTGTAACGATGAAGACAGAAATACAATTAATAGTACTGTAAGGAAGGATGTTATATTTGCCATAAAAGAGCTATAATCCTGTGTTGTGGAGGTTCAGAGGAAAGAGATTTTATAGATACATAACTGAAAACACCTGTCACGTTATTTTGCAGACACTATCAAAATATTTAAATGTTAAGTCTATCTTTGAGTAACTAATCCAAAAAAAAAATAAAAATATTCTGATGATTTGTACTTTGTGCTTAACTAAAGGCCCATTGTAAACTATCGTAGCCCTTAGTAAAAAGTGTTCTAAGATGACTTTTTCTGCCTTAAGACATAGTGTTACTAAGTCTTGCTTTGATGATCAAGGATCTTGTTAAATATTTCAAGGCCATGGTTTTAAATTGCTAGTCCTTATTATCAGTATTGTTGGCAAGATAGCACTGTTGAGGATTTACTGTAAGAGTATCGCAAATGAAACTGGATGGTTTAAGAGACTGGGATCCTGGAGCATAGCCTAAAGACAGCAGTTTTTATTCCTTCAGGATATGTGCAGTTTTCATCAGCACCAGTGACCCAAAGAATAGTGATTCTCCAAGAAAACAGGAATATACTTCAGATTCTTACATTTGCGGGAAACCATAGACAAATTTAATAATTGCTGTACCGCTTAAGAATTATTGTCCTAATGTAAATAGTTTTAAAAAAAATACAGGGTTTGTTATTTTGAAAGAGTCATTTAACTAAACTTAGAATGCGTTTTTTAAGGTCTTCAATTTTAGGTTCAGTTCTGGTTGAGTGTGGATTTGTTAGATTTTTCTAAGTTTAATGAAATGAGAGTACATGATCTTAAATATACCTTATTAGGAAAAGTAGATCTAAGGATTGGTTAATCTACACGATGCTAAAACAAATCATTGAAGTGTATATTTGTCAACTGGCTTTTTTCGGCATCATGGTGACTTGCAACCTAACCAATAGTCTATTTACATTTTAATTTCTTATTTTTAAAATGATTTATGTTTCTACATTAAATTGAATAAAATCATTATAAACCTTTTTGAAAATCAAGGGTACAAAGTTCTTAAAAGGAAAGTTTTATTATTTTATTAAATCCTTGAAAAATGAAGCAAAAATCCACAGACACTTTTAGGTTTGCTTTGTTAATTATGTGTACCCTAGCAAGGATGTAAGAAACAGACACCTTCATTTGTTGCCACGTTTTGTTGAATGATTTAGAGCAACTCTTAAAACAGTGGAACCCGGGTAGCTCACATGAGAACCACCAGGGAAGCATTTCAGTAATATTTTGATTTTGTTTTTAGAGGTATTTAATTTGCATAATTCTTAAATTATATTGGAGATTTGAGAATAAGTTTTTTGTGCTTGTGAAAACGGAACAGTGTTCAAAAGGTTGAGAAGCACTAATATATAATATTGCCAAAAATCTTGCATTTGAAATTAATGACTTCTGCCCTACACTATTCACTACATGTATTAGTCTGCTTGGGCTGCCATAACAAAATGTCACAGACTAGGTGTCTTAAACAACAGAAATTTATTTTCTCACAGCCTGGAGGCTGAAAAGTCCAAAATCTAGGTGCTAGCTAGGGTTCAGTTCCTGGCAAGGGCTCTCTTGATGGTTTGCAGATGACACACTTCTTTCTGGGTTCTCATGTGGCCTTTTGTTTGTGCTGGTGCATGCATTGAGGGGAGGAAAGAGAAAGAAAGATGTCTTCTTAAAAGGCCACTAGGCCCTCATGACCTAATCAAATCCTAATAGCTCCCAAAGACCTCATCTCTAAATCTCATAATCCTGGAGGTTAGGGCTTCAACATATGCATTTGGGAGGAACATAGACATTCAGTCTCTAACACTATAGTACTGAGGTCTTCGATATAATACAGGATACAAGACTTTAATCTGATATATCAATGCCCAGGTCCTGACATAGCAGAACTTCAAGCTAGTTTCTAAAATACCTCAGTTTATCAACCTTTGGTAAAGATCCTAAGGAGAAGACCATTGACAGTGATAAACATCCAGAATGTATAAGAATACACACTTGTTTTTTAAAAAAACTTGAAATGGACTTCCAAAAATAAGTAACACAATGTCACTCATTATTGTATCAATGGAACTTATATTTATAGTTATTGTTAGGTTATTTATAGGAAGACTACATGGAGGTGGACCATTTTAAATCCTAAATAGCACAAATGTTATGTTTTATCTATGCTTAAAACATAGATTCCCAGCCAGAATAATGTGAATTTAGGACATCAATGATCTGAACTACATAGATTCTAACTCACTTGTCATACCTGGAGACAAAAAAAATAGAACTTCTGTTAGCTGCCACAGAGCAGAAATTTTCTAGATAATATCATATACCCACTTATTACTTATGGCTACATTTGGAATCCCGGTTGAGAGCTTCTGTTATTCCAGCTAAAATTTTTTAATTGAATTTTTTTTTAAGTTGGGGTGTCACTCTGTCACCCAGGCTGAAGTACAGTGGCATGATCACAATGATCATAGCGCACGGTAACCTCGACCTCCTGAGCTCAGGCAATCCTTCCACCTCAGTATCCTCAGTAGCTGGAAGTACAGACATGCACCACCATGCCAGCCTAATATAATTTTTCTGTAGAGTTGAGGTTTCACCATGTTTCCCAGGCTGGTCTCAAACTCCTGGGCTCAACCAGTCCTGCCTCACCCTCCCAAAGTGCTGGGATTACAGGTATGAGCCACCATGCCTGGCCCCAGCTAAAATCAGACTCTACCTTATACTCTATTACATCTGTTACTGAGGTAATAGTTAATTCTTTTTTTCCACCCCCAGCCCTCTCAGTTCATTCTTATATAATTGGTCTGGGATGTGGTGTGGTCATCAGTATTGGTTTAAAGCTCTGAGTGATTCTAATATGAACTTAGCTTGAGAACACAGAGCACTTATGTTCTTTGGTATATTAATAATTGTACCTCTATTTCAGGACTGTGGATTATCTGCCAGACATTTAAAAACTTTTTGTGATGCTGTGTAACCAGCAGTCTGCTTGCGTATATTCACTGATGAAGTTAATTCAGCATTTGCTCCCTAGGAAGTGTGGGACCACATTGTTGACTTTTGGGAGTTGCACTTTTTTAGTCTATCTTTGTATTTAAAAAAAAATTTGTCCAAAGGCCTTAAAACTTAACTGATTATATCCTCCCCTCAAAAAAAAGAATTTCATTCTGAAAGTACTACTCATGCAATATGTTTTTTCATCATTATGCCTCTCTGGCAATAAGTTTTATTATTTGAAAGGCTGTCCATCATAAAGATGAATTTAGAAAAATGATCAGTAATTCAAATGCGATGATTATCAAAAGATTAGAGCTGAATGAAGCCAATAAATTCAAACATTTAATCTGGATGTTCTATTTATATAACATCAAAAATTCTAATATTTATAACTTCCAGATACTGCCTTTAGCTACAGAAAACGTTCAGATTATTGAATTAGTCACTTTTCATTGTAGTTCTTTGTCAAGTGCAGACACATAATAATACCACATGAACTTTAAAAAATATTTTAAAAGTAATGGATCTAGTTTTAGGCTTAATTTTGTTTTAGATTTAGTTTGAAATTAAAATATTATGGGTAGATATATTTCTACACTTCAACTATATTCATTCTCTGTGATTTCTTGCAGTTTTGTCCACATGTACACATATTATTTCCACAATTAAAATCAAAATCTGGGTATATTTTTGCTTTTTTGTGTTAGTACTAGTAGATATTTTTTATTGTTCCTTATACTTTGTAATTGTAATTGTTATTAGCTACATAATATTGCATTTGCATTGGGCTATTTGGAATCTTTAACTTTACAGACTATGTTATATATATCATAGATACTAACTTTTGGATTCTTATTTAAATATTTTTCAGAAATGGCCCATGCGATCAAGATTATACATCGGTGCTACTGGTCAGTTTCTGAAGCATTCTGTCTCTGGAGAAAAAGCAAATCATGACAACACTCCAACAGACTCACAGCCTTAGGCTCTCCCCTGTTGGGGACTGGTAGAATGATGGCTATTGTTTTTAAATACTGTGAAATATTCTATATTTATTATATCAGACATAAACATTTCTGAAAATTTACATATTAACATACAGTTGGATATTCAGATATATCTAATTTAAATAAATGTGGAATCAAATAATCAGTCTTAAATAAAACACACAGCTTATCTATTCAATGTGAGAGGGAGTCACTACTATACAGTACAAGGGAAACTGTTAAAAAAAGGAATAAAGGCTGGGCTTGGTGGCTCAGCCTGTAATCCCAGCAGTTTGGGAGGCTTGAAACCAGTCCAGGCAACTTGGCGAGACCTCATCTCTACAATAAATCAAAAATTAAGCCGGGCTCAGTGGCTCAGCCTGTAATCTCAGAGCTTTGGGAGGCTGAGGTGAGTGGATTGCCTGAGCCCACGGGTTCAAGACTCGCCTGGGCAACTTGGCAAGACCTCATCTCTACAATAAGTCAAAAATTAGCCGGGCATGGTAGCGCGTGCCTGTAGTTCCAGCTACTTGGAAGGCTGAGGCGGAAGGATTGCCCCAGCCCA